ACAAGCCGAAAGAATTTGCCTGCGTAAGCGACCACGCTGCAGGTACATGCACGTGAAACTCTTGACCTAAGCGGCTCTGCCGCCTAAGTTTTAGCTTTTGGAGCCTGAGATGCAAAGCCTGCAGTGCTCAAGCCCCTCGCCTCAAATGCATGAGGCGTTTTCAGACGGTCGAGCACAGGTGTTGACAAGCCATGGCTAGCCCTGTGCTCTTACAGGCGATTTTGATCTCTTTTTTTCCCACTTGCTAGGCGCTGGGCCCTCTAGACCCTCGGCTCCCCTGGGCATCCGAAACGGAAGTGCCCAGCTCCAGCCTGAGAAAACTAGACTCGCCATCAGCGCGACCGGAGCTCTGTTTGCCTCATCCGGCAGAAGGAACTGCAGCTGCCCTGCAAGACCTTCGTGGAAGAAACTGAGTCTGCGCAGGCTTGGGGAATGCATCTGACTTTCGTTTCAGGTCCTGCACAGCCGTGCTTCTCGTCCAAAGCGGCGACTCCAGCCAAAGCGGCGACAACATCCAAAGCGGCGAGCTTCAACGCAGCTTAGCATCACCTTGTGATCAGCAGAGTGCGAGTCAGAACTTTCTGGACTTCTGCTCAGGGTGTAAACTCAGGGTTACAACCATGAATTGTGAGTTCATCAGCTGCCGTAAATCGCAGCTGCTCCCGAACCAGCCAAGTTATCCCTGAACCCTAAATCCCCCTAAACCCTGAACCCTGAACCCTAAATACCCCTACACCTAAAACCCTAAACCCTTAAACCCTTACTGTAAGAGCTACACATAGCCAGTCTGCTAGCCGGTTGGCCACTCAGCTTCAGATCCAGTCTCTGGGACCCTGGAGGCTAAACGCCCCAAGCCCGGGTTGAGGGGCTGGGGGATTAGGGTTCGAAGCCCCAAGAGGCGCAGAGCCTCACATCTTCCCGCTTTTTTCTGGAGCTCGGTGTCTCTGAGGCTGTGCCCATGTGGAATCCCTTCATGGGCACCTCGTTCGCCTTCGATGTTTGAGCTTGGGGTCTCCGGCCAACTTGGAGGTTTCCTTGTTCATCAGTGTGGATAGAGCCGCTTTGCATGGAGCTTCCGTGGGGCTGGGAAAGGACGGCTTCTCCTTGGATGTAAAAGAAGAAACTCTACTAAACCCTCACGCCTAAACCCGAAAAGGGAGCCTGAGGTCGGGCAGGACGGTTTGCGTCAGCAGGCTTTGTTAGGGTCAGGAAAGCCCAGTGCTCCGAGGAAGCTCATTTTTAGGGCACCTGCCGGCCAGACCTCAGACCCTAAACCCCAAACCCTACACCCCCAAACCCTGAACCCCTAAACCCTAAACCCTAAAACCGTAAACCCTAAACCCTGAAACCCTAAACCCCTAAACCCTAAGCCCTAAACCCTGTAATCCTTCACAAAAGGCCTTCCCAGTCCCGTAAGCTCCGAATCTACCATGGGGGTTTCCGAAAACAGGCGACCCCAATATAGCACCCTAAATAGCAGGATCCTCATTATATAAGGACCCCAAAATAAGGTACCCTGCTTTTCGGAAACCCCCAAATCCTAAGATTCCTAGGCTGCGGCGGCCCCCCGCATCCCTGGGCATGGCAGCCGGGTCTTCTGGACTCGCAAACGTTGCAAGCTCCATTACACCAGCACGCTGAGGGTTTAGGGTTTAGGGTTCAGGGGTTGCTCTGTTGTAGTCATGTGTATTTCAGGCGTCGCACAGGTGATGGGCAAGTTCTCTGCAATACTGATCTGTCTACATCTATCTACTAGTTCCCGCTTGTTCCTTTTATCTCAACTCGCTGGCCCTTGTATTGCAGCACCTCTTACTCGAAATTTGTCATAATTATTACTACTGGTATCATCATCACTACGGTTCTAGTGATTGCTATGGTTATTGCTACTGTTATTGTGGTGGCTGTTATTAGTATTGTTGGTGTTATTTGTATTACCATCAATATGATCATCATTGTTATGATTACTGTCAATATCAATGCGATGGTTTCTGTTATTCTCATCATGACTATGCTTCTTCTCCTCCTCATTATTATCATCACGATCCACCTTATCATCTTCGGACCCCCAGGCTGGCAGCAGCCTCCTGCGCCTGCTCCTCCACCTGCGCCTCCCCAGCGTTTCTCGAAGCTGGCAGATGCGCTGGACCGAAAGAACGCAGCTTGCTCTTAGGTTTAGGGTTTGGGGCAGCGGGTCGAGGGTTTAGGATTTAGGGTTTAGGGCTTTGGGCGAAGAGCTATTTCGCATTCTTGGAAGAGTCTCTCCTGCACTTCTCGGAGGGGCTGCAATGTTCAGGCCTTCGAGGCCGGGGGGGTATCCGATGGTCTGAAGCCTGAGCGTTGTGCGGCCCTTTCCCACCAAGGATCTGGACGACCTAGCGCCATTAGACGAAGCAGCAAAGCTCGAGCTCAAAGGACGGCTGCATTGCACCCAGCATTTCTGGGGCGGTCTTGCAGTCGTCGTCCTCGCAGAGGATGCTACTCTCAGTTCCATTGCGGATTAGACAGACGCGCTTCAGTCTGTGAGGACATTTGCTCGACCTCCTCAAGCAGGAGAATCTACAGACCACGTCTTTCCCACACCATGTTCAATCAGCTTGACCTGTGCATCACTTTGCGTAGGACTGGGTGATTCCGAAGCCCGTCTTCACGGCCATCTACGAGCCGGGGGATGAGTGCGAGAAGCCGGCAGAGGATTCTGGGATCTAGGCTGCAACATGGGTTACATTGCCATTGATAACGACACCGACGATGATGATTCCGATTCTGATTTTGATGTTCATCACCTTCGTCGCGGTTATCACGACGGAACTCACCACCAGTTTCAGTGCTAACACCACCAGCTCCGGTCTCATCATTGTCGCCATAACCGTCATAATCGTCAGTATCATCACCGTCATCACCGTCTGGTGGTCGTCGTTTGCAACATCCACGGTTGTCGCTACAGCTGCTAGAGCACCTGCTTCCGCTCTTGCTGTTGCGACCCTCCACCGCTGCCGTGTTGTTGCTTCCGTCGCCGTCGTCCTAGCCATATCCAAGAGCTCCCTCGCCTTTGCCTACAGATAGGCGAATCAACGTACAACAAGACTGATCGTAAGAATGATGCTATTGTGAGACTGTCAAGAAAAGTTGCTATAGCGTTGATCAGTTGCTGATGGCTCTGTAGAAGTTGTAGTATGGTCGAGAAAGATACCAACAGCGACGAGCTAACTGTCAAGCTGTGGCCATGAAGTCGACATCGTCACTACAATCATGGCCAAGCTCATTGCGAGAAGACGATTGGCCAGTCTAGGGCTACTTCCGGCTAGGATCAGGATATTCTCATTGCTTCTACAACTACAAGAACACGAATCTCTGCTACAGGCCCTGGCTCAGAGCCCTACCATGCCCTGAGCACATGCGTGCCCCGAAGCCCTCATCCAACAGGAGGCCAATGTATCCGAAAGTGAGCGCAAGAAGCGTCGGCTGGAGGAAGATGTCAGCACGCCGACGCTCGAGCGGCATTTGGACACGAGGGGTTTGTATTAGACGATGCTGCCGGATGAGCGCCTTAAAGATCGAATCTTGGCAAATGGGCTGGGCCGGGGCATGATGTAGATCCTGTCAGTTTTTCACGCCTACACCCGTTGAGTCTTCCTCCGAGATCCAAAGCCTTTTGCCCAGGGCTGGTTATAGAAGTTACTGTAAAGGTTGTGATCATGTCTCTATCAAGGCGACCATACAGGTTACGATGGGGATTACTGTAAACTATCAGGGTTACCAGAGGGAATACTATGCCAGCCTCGCGGTTTGTAGCCTTCCGACACGAGTTTGGGAGTCTTCCGAAGAGATGGGCCGCCGGGACTCCAGGCCTCTCCTCGCTTGAAGGAACCAGTATGTTCTAGGCTATGTTATGTTAGGTTATGTTGATATTATATGAAACCCTCTTAGGGCTTCGGGTTGAGGCGGTCTGGTGTAGAATACGTTCCTATGCCCCTTCCACCCTTCCTAACTTGGTCAGATTGCCCAGTGCTGAAGCTTTCGAAGGAATACCACAGCGGCTGCTGAGCAGGTTGCGGCTTAGGGTCCAGATTTGGATTGTCTTAGTGCCTTTATCCAGCCGGAGCCAGACGTACAACTGAAGCCCAGAAGCAAAGAGCAGTAGCAACAATCTGTGATGCCAGAAATCACACTCAAAGCCCTAAGCCCTATAGACCCTCGGATGACAAGAATGCATAGCATCTCAGCATATTTGCTTCATAAGCTCTTGCAGGCCACATTTCCCAAATTATCCCTATCCATCCAATCCAAAACCCCCAAATCATAAACCCTAAAGCCAAAGCCCTACAAACCAAAGCCTAAACCTTAAAAAGCCTGCGCACTAGGAGGGTATGACTCTGAAACGCCTCCAGTGCCCTTGATGTGCTTATCAGAGTGATCTTTCCTTCAGAACCTTTCTGCCCTGCTTCAGCCCTGGAACCTACAGACCGCTAGGCTCTGACACCAGGAATGAAGTGAGACATCCGACATCAACCGCCGGTTCCTACACTAAAGCCCTAAACATCCCTAAACATCTCTAAACCCGCAGCCCGAAGTCCCGAAGTGAAGCCCTATTAAAGTCTCCGTCCCCAGTGAAGCGCTTGCAAGGCCAGCGCAAGCTCGAGTTCCAAAGACGCTCCTGAGGACCGAGGGGTTGAGTGCTTATGGCTTACAGGGGACCTAGGGGCTATGTAGGGTCAATTCCCTTTCAAAACATTGAAGATTGTATAGGGCGTCGGTCATGTTCTGCGCTTTTCTGTTTTCACTTTTTGGACCTCAGGTCGGCGTTCTTACCGACGCAGCAGCCGAACGTCTAGAAGAACCACTCCAGACACGCGTGTCTGTGCTGGAGACGAGCGACCAGATGCTCAAAGTTCTGCTCCCCAATGGCAAGGAGGCTTGGGTAAACTATGTGGATGTGGATGTGGACCAGAAGAAGGCGGGCAAGTGTAAAAGTGTTGGTGCGAGGGGGGGAGTCCATATCTGAAGCTTTCATTTTTGAACCCCCCCTCCCCTTTCAGTCTGGTGCATGTAGGGTCCATAAGGTGCGTACGTCACGGATTCGACGATGTGGGGTCTGCAGTGTAGCTTCCTCTAGCTTATGAAGCAAGGCTTCAGGATCAAGAGCCGTGGTAGTGTTTTTGCTTCTTTGGGAACTTCTCTCGAATTTGTGGGCAGTTATGAAGCCCTTTGAAGCCCGAAGCAAAGCTAGCAGAAACGAATTGAATCTCCTCCCTCCTCGCTCTCGCTCTCGCTCTCGCTCTCGCTCTCGCTCTCGCTCTCGCGCTCTCTCTCTCTCTCTCTCTTTTTCTTTCTCTCTCTCTCTCTCTCTCCCTCTCCCTCTCTGTCCCTCTCCCTCTCTCCATCCCCCCCACAGTCGTACAAGAACCTATATTAATTTGTATAAATAAATAAATATAAATATAAATACAAATAAATAAATATATATATATATCTATGTCTACATCTATATCTAGATCTAGATCTATATCTATATCTATATTTATATCTGTATGTGTATCTATATCTATATCTATATCTATATCTATATCTGTATCTGTATCTGTATCTATATCTATATATATATATATATAGATATACATATATATATATATATGTGACGTACACCATATACAGAGCCTACAAAGCTTTCCTAGAAATCTGGTACAGGAGGATCCGAAACCTGCCGCCGCGGATCCACCGGCCGAGTCACGAGGTGCCCCGGGTCGGGTCGGTTCAATACCCGAAGGAGTAGGGTTTAGCGTTTAGGGTTATAGGGGTTTAGGGTTTAGGGTTTTAGGGGTCTAGGGTTTAGGGTTATAGGTGTTTAGGGTTTTTCGGTGTTTCAGAGATGGAGCTTCCCGATTCGATGGCAGCCGGAGCAACACGAATAATCGTGCAATAAACGTTTTCGTACTGTCGTTGATATCCCTTTTCCTCATCTTCATTGCTAGTGGTGGTTATGATTAGACAATCACCATCATCGCCATCGTTATCGTCCTCGCCATCGGCACCATCGTTGCTACAATAAGCAGCAGCAAAGAAGAATAAGCATCACAGTCATCATCATCATCACCACCATCACCATCATCAGCATCAACAGCAACACCATCAACATCTTTGTTTGTCCACACCTTTCTGCTTCATCATTCCCAGCATGATCGTCATCATCGCCATCGCCAACCTCTTCTCTTTTCTTCGCTTCATTCCCAAGCTCAGCATCAACACAAGCATCGCCACCAGCAGTAACATCATCATCAGCATCCTCCTCCTCCTCCTCCTGCTCCTCTTCCTCCTCCTCAGCACCTTCACCATCACCGTCACCATTGTCACCACCATGATCATCATCATCATCGTTGTCATTGTCGTCGTCAGTAACATCGCTTCCATCGTTTTCGTCACCATGTATCATGAGAGGTTTGCTTGTCATCAACCTCACCTTCATCTCCATCCTCAACATCACGAGCAGCATCTATACTGCCAATTATCTCTCTGATGTCATGCAGCATTCGCGGTGGTGATGATGATCGTGTTGTTGTTGATGATGATGATGTTGATGATGACGATGGTGGTGGTGGTGGTGGTGGTCATGGTGATAATGCTGCTGCTGATGATGGTGATGATGATGATGATGATCATGATGTTGAGGATGATGATGTTGGGATGCTGATCTTGTTTTTATTGTGGTTGTTGTTGTTGATGGCGGTGATGGTGATGAATGTTATCATGCACATGCTCATGCTTGTTCTTCTGTGCCGATGATGACGTTGTCGATGATGATATGGGGTTCATGATGTCGCTGCAGCTGCGATTGAAGATGAAGCTTAGACTGGTGATGTTGGTGCGGTCGTTGCTATAGTTCGAGTATTGATATCAAGGATGATGGTGATGGTGGCGGTGATGCTGACGATGAAGCTGAGTTTGTTGATGTAGATGGCAAAGATGACGCAGACGTGAGACCCACCGAACGGAATGCCAAGTTCCGAACATCTTGCAGAGGTGATGCGCAGGTGGATGATGAAGAGCTCCTTGGCAGTAGACAAGCAGGGCGTGCTGCAGGAGCTGGTGGCATGTGCCAGCGATCCAGCGTCTGGTGCAAGAGAGCTTGTATGACTCGGGACAAGTGCGCTTTGCCCCTGCCTGCCACTCGAGAGCTCTTGAAGGTCCTCGGAAAGCGAAGCCGAGGAGGCCGTCTATGTGAAAGAGGAGCCCGGGAGTGGTCTGTTCGGCTAAGGGGCAGTGGTGGTCACACTTGGGCGGGAAGGGGGGGGGGGAAAGCAGACAAGAAGGAAAGAGCATGAAGCACCCATCATCTTAAAACATGGTTTTGGGGTCTGTGGGGTACATTCACTCGTCGACTGCTTTCGAACCCAACCTCCTGGCCGCAATAAGAAGCACAAGAAAACCCTTAATAACACTGTCGGACAATATTGAACCCTTGAAAAGATCGTTAAAACCGTTTTGAACCTTATAAGGCCATCTATAACCCGTCTACAGCGAATCTTATAGATTCCGACGTGCCAGGAGCAGGTGCAGATGCCGGCAGGGCCAGGCCAAGCAGGGCAGGGTCCCGGGGAAGCTTCCTATAAAGTGGGTTTTTAGAGTTTAGGGTTTAGGGTTTCTTCCTAGAAATGGGGACAGCAAAGACAGCAGATTTCCCCTCAGTTTGAGCATCTCTGCTTCACAGAAGGGCAGCCTGTGAACAAGTTCTCTTTGCCAGTCGGGCGACGCGGCGAGCGATCGGTGATCTTGACCCCTGTCGCCCTCCATGCAGCTAAGGGTCCAGAATCAGGCCTTGTTGCATTTTGGACCTGGCGAGTTGCTTGCGGCCATGATTCCGAAACCCTCATCTCAGGCACGGCGCGACGGAGCGATCGCAGCAGCTGAGCTGCGCCGGCTTCGAGCCGTGGAAAGTGCGAAGGTCGGCACAAGCTCCGTCAGCATGTCGCATCCATGCAGTAGGTCGGGAAAAGGGTTCAGTTCAGGATGAAGGGTGTAGGATGTCCTGATTTTTGGTTCAAAGGGCTCCACCTGGCAGGAGGGAGATCAGAAGGAGGTCCTTCTGAAGTCCCTGCTCTACAGCCAGGCCCGCGGGCGACACCATGCTAGTCGTACGACGTGATCATGTGGCACAAATTTTGGCAATAACTTGAATGTACATGAACCATCAGAAACGAGGGAGGTCCTTGTCATCATGACCATCATCATCATCAACATCATCCTCAGCATCCTCGCCTCATCATCCTCATCATCCTCATCATCCTCATCATGTTCATCCTCCTCCTCCTCATCATCATCATCAGCACCATCATCACCAACATCATCAGCAGCAACATCCTCTCCTCCTCCTCCTCCTCCTCATCATCATCATCATCATCACCAACAACATGGTGAGAAGCATCATCCTCATCATCATCGTCATCATCATCCTCATCAGCACCATCATCACCACCATTATCATCACTTTCATCACCATCATCATCATCATCATCAGCAAAAAACATCGTCGTCGTCGTCATCATCATCATCATGTGCATCATCCTCCTCCTCCTCTGCCTCCTCATCATCATCGTCATCCTCGCTTCGCTGTTACAGTCTGCAGCCCCAATCTCCACTACCGCTGCTGATATTTCCACCATCGTTGCTGCCACTGCTGCTCTGCTAGTGCTGATGCTACTGCAGCTGTTACGACGACGACGACAACAACAACAACTACCACCACCACCACTACGACGACGACGACGACGACTACTACTACTACTTCTGCTCCTGCTGCTGCTGCTGCTGCTGCTATTATTACTACTACCACTACTGCTGCTGCTGCTGCCACTTCTATGCTGCTGCTACTACTACTACTACTACTACTACTACTCCTGCTGCTGCTGCTGCTACTACTACTACTACTACTCCTGCTGCTGCTGCTACTACTGCTGCTGCTGCTGCTGCTGCTACTGCTCCTGCTACTACTCCTACTACTACTACTACTACTACTACTATTACCACTGCTACCACTACCTACTACTACCACTACTACGACGACGGTGACGACGACGACCACAACCACTACCACTAGACGACCACAAGCACTACCACTAATGTTGCCGCTACCGCTACCGCTAGCACAGCCACTATCTGTACCACTACCACTACCACTGCCACTGCCACTGACGGCTGCTGCCACTTGTATCACCACTACCATTCTGCTGGCACTACTACTTCTGCTACGACGACAACCACTATTCCCACTGCTATTGCTTCTGTTACTGCTACTGCTACTGCTACTGCTACTCCTGCTGCTGCTGCTTCTGCT